TGTTAAATGTGGTTAAAATATTTTGACTTTGTTGTTTCTGATGACATTTGCCGACTCTCGATTTTTTACTCTCGATCAGAGATCTAGACTCTCGTCGACTCTCGACTTTTTACTCTCGATCGACTCTCGACTTTTTACTCTCGACTCTCGACTTTTTACTCTCGACTCTCGACTTTTACTCTCGACTCTCGACTTTTACTCTCGACTCTCGACTTTTACTCTCGACTCTCGACCTTTACTCTCGACTCTCGACCCTCGACTTTTAGATACACTCCTATTTATTCACTTGCACAAAAATACTAATGACGGTATATTGTTCATCTTTGCATAATAGTTTACACCGGTTTAGCGCCTGCCTAAATAGGCTGTGTTTACAATGTATTTTGTCTGTGTCAGTTTTAGCTTTTCATAAATGTATTCAGCCATAGTGAACACGAAAACTCTCATAGTCATCATACTTTACAAAATACGAATGTATGATACATTATTATATAATTGGTAGTACTGATTACTTTATGATAATCTATAGTAATTAGTATTACTTTATGTATATATTTATGTCTATATTATTGTCTATATATGGCTCTTTTGCGTACGTTATGCGGCTGAGCATTAATCTTTATACTACGATTGCGATTCCCGCCTGGTTCATCACTTGCAAGTGGTAGTATTACAGTAAACGTGGCAAATAGTTGCTAGACTACCTGAAGCACATAGGCCTAGACATAGATTTTTGCCTTCTCACACACAACTGAGTAGGTCTTAAAAAGTGTGTAAATTTCCGTTAGTCGAATATTCCTGTCCATCTACTAACACTTATTAATAATAACTGAAGCACTTAGTCTTATAGTGATATGGATAGCTAAGGGGCGGACCATTAGAAATCCCGGGAGGGGGGGGGGTATAAAATTTTTGCGGCACGAATTTTTTTTTCAGTCTCGTGTCTCTGCAGGAATTTTTTTTAATGCATTTAACCTCTGCACGAATTTTTTTTCAAGACTATTTGTACTTCGCTGTTTGCTTGCACGAATTTTTTTTCTCTGACGTAATGGCTGCACGAATTTTTTTTCCAGGCATTTTCCTTTGCACGAATTTTTTTGGGGGAATTTTTACCCCCCCTCCCGGGATTTCTATGGTCCGCCCCTAACTAGAATGTCTTTCAAAAATAAGTAACATTAACAAAACGTTACTGTGTAACGGAGTAAACAATTACACAATACTGCAGTACTAGTATAAACTATTATGCAAAGATGAACAGTCTCAATACTCAATAGGCGCGATAATAATCACTTGTATAGTTAATATTTTGTATTTGCCGAGACACTTTTGTCACAATTGTTTCTGACAATTAAAGGGGAAGTCAAGTCCGTTCTGCGCATCGGTTCTGCGCATAACAATAGAGGGCCCTCTGAGGTAAACATTGCCCAAATTTTGAATGTTTCGAATTTTTCTGAACACAAACTCTATTTCATATTCATGTAGAAGCATAACGAACCAAAATGGTGTTAGATATTCAGACAGTACATCATATTTTAAAAAATACAGCAGTTCAAAATGTAAACAAACCGTTTGTTTACATTACGGACTTGACTTCCCCTTTAATCTATTATCTATATGATAAAGAAGAAGTTCTGCAGTATATACTGTACTATATGCATACTATAAATACAAATATTATATAAAATGTAAATATTAAATCCCGAAATATTGGATAATCCTGCTATCCTACAGGCTATATCCGTATGAAATTGCACTGCTGGTATACCTATATAACTGATACTAGAGATTTTTTACCTTGTATATTATTATATCATGCATGTGCATGCAGTGTAGCACGCTTTTCAGCAGCAAATTTTCGTTCTCTGTTTAGATTTTAATATAATTATACGAAAATCTAAAAAAATATAATTTCAAAATCGAAAGTCCAAAGTCCAAAGTCCAAAGTCCATAGTCCAAAGTCCAAAGTCCAGTCCAAAGTCCAGTCCAGTGTTTACAATATGCCTTTACAAAATGCATAAAGGTGGTAAACACTACTAAACAGTGCCTCACTGAAAGACATTTATAATATATAGTGACTTATAATTTGTCGTTTGACTTATCTTTGGTGTATGATTTTACTATACCGTAGACTTGTTTTCAACAGACAGCTACACTTTGACATATACCATGATCGTTGGTTTCAGCAACAGATGGCAGATGAAATCTCGATCGTTTCGGCGTATTTCGGCCTACCACAATGCACTGCTATGGGGCGCCGTAGCGGACAATATTGCCTTTCAAAAATAAATATCTGCCAAACTGCAGATGTTTGCTCTAATACAAAAATATATGGACTAAACTTTGAAAATATATGTGGTGAACATAATAAATTTGTTCTGAACTTAATATATATCTGCCAAACTTAAAAAATACGTGCTAAACTTAAGATATATGTTCCAAACTGGAAATAGGCATGCGATTATTTTCATAAATATTGGCCAAATTGGATAAGTTCATGGTAAACTCGACAAAACATTGCTGAACTGCAAAAATATATGCTAAACTTTAAAAGTTTTCTATACTCAAAAAATATATGCTCTTTGAAAAATATATATTCTAATTATGATGCTTTACGGCCTTATTATATCACGTGACAAACAGCAACGGCCAACGGACGACCGCCATTTTCTACGATTTCTCGAAGACGAAGATGTTCAACCCAAATGATCTTCAGTTTCACTTAAATAACGCACTGCAAAGGATACAACAGCTCGAAAGCGCCAGTATTTCTCCTATAAACAATCAGTCATCGACAAATTCAAGTGGAAATAGTGGTTTGACGGTAACGGAAGAACTGCGAAGAAGTTTTCCCAGCTTAGCAAATCTGCGACCTAACCATACTTCAAGTCCTACTTTAAGTTGTTCAACAAATCCAACAACAAGCTCGACACAAATGCTGTTGACTCGTGCTTCAACATCAGGTTTTGGTGCCAACAAGAAAAAACGAAAGCGTGGATCGACACCTAAATTGAACATAAAGCCAAAAGCAGCCCACAAAGATTTGGTATTGGTCCCTGACCCAGTACAAACCTCAGTCCCGACTCATTCATCTCGGGTTATGTTGGAAAGTGATGGTTACGTTCTTCATAGCTTTCCTTTTGTAAGAGATTGGGATGACATCCATTTAAAAAAGGAAATAGAAAAAGTCTTTCCGCAGATCCAGTGTTGTGGTTATGAGTACATGAAGGTATAATATACATACGGCATAATATTTTGCTAACAAACTATAATATAGCATGGGTAGTAGTTAGGAAATCTTAAGAATTCCTAGAATTTCTTTGTGGGGCCTGGAAAATTGTTCCTTTTCCTTGTTATAAATGTCCCTCACTTAGAGAGAAATACCTCACCCCCCCCCCCCTCCAACCCCTATTTTAAAGAAAGGCAGTCACATTGTCTATCCAAACAACTCTATTAACCGTCCTAGAAATTTGGTAATTTAAATAAGGCATGAAATGCCCTTCCTTTGATGACCCCCACTTCCTCTGTTTGATGACTCTACCTACATGAAATACAAAAATTATTTTACCAAATCCCCTGCATTAGAAAGCTTATCTTTTAAAAACTGCAGTAGGTATCTTGTATGATCCAAATCCTTGTAACCTAGTAACTGATTAAGTTGCATTGTGCCCTAAAGGCTCCCCTAAGGGACTGGTCATAATTTAGCAGGAGGGGTGGGGAGGTGGAAACAGGGGGGTCACATATTTTTTAGCCAGAAAAAGGGGGGGTTCATAAAATATTAGACAGTTTATGAAGGCGGGGAGGGGGTCTGCTGTTTTAGTTCAATTGTTTTATACATGCCTTCTCACATTTTGTTCTTCTCACATAAGAGGGGGGGGGGCATTATTTTTCCAGGTTATGGAAAGGCAGGGTTACAAAATATTCCTTAAAATTTTGAATTACACCTCCCCACCCCCACCCCCCTGATAAATTATGATCAGTCCCTAATGCCCTCTAATTGGTTCATGTAAATCTGCGTCGTGTTCATTCTAATGCTGTTGTTTTTAACATTTATCACAACAACGTCCAAGTCTTGTTTCCATTCTATAACAACCATTAATTTAATGGGCCAACAGTATTTTTTGGTTTATTAGTTAGAGAAACAATAACTACTATTTTGTTTGATTTAATGTGATGTGGTTGATTTATAGTGGATTACACAAACATATATTATTTTTATATGTATTATATATAGGCCTTGTATGGAAAACTTGTTTCACCAAATTTGGCCCCGGGAGTTAGAATGAACTGCAATATGCTGCTGAAACTATCAGGCCAAGGCGCAGTGTACATACGCTCAAATGTAAAACTTGCTTCTGGTAGTGACAGTGATCATTCTGACAATGATGATTTTTTGGAGCCATCCATAGCTGCAGTAAAACAAGATCCAGAAATCTTAGAAATTCCATCTGAGTCTGATATTGAAGGTAGATATTGACTGACAAATGAATGTATAATATTAATGCCCAGCATTAATACATGAATTGCATTATATGACATTGTTGCCCATATGAAAAAATCCAATTGGAATTTGGGATAGTTTCCAATAGAAATTCCTATTGGAATTTCAATTGGATTTTTTTGTAAGGGTGAGTCATGGAATAGTGAATTGGGGGCTTTATATAAGCAGCCAAAATTTAGGTTTAACAACATAGATGTTGCAGATACATATTAATTAATGGCATCACTGGCTACTAGAAAATTTAAAATGAGGTTGTGATGTGGGTGTTTACTGCCTGTATGACATAGACATATGTAGCATTGTAACACTTATGCAGAAGTAGGATTCTGGATTCTCATGGGGATAGTAAAATGTGGAATCCTGGCATCGCTAGTACTAGTGGAAATGTGTTTAAATTTTAGATGCTGTAATGATAGAACAAGCTGTTGGTATTGCACAGTCATTTCCAGAATCTGCTGGTGTACATGCACATATTGTTAATGAACAAACTCAAACTAACGGTAATTGTTAAGAAAAATTGTCTCCATGATGAAGACCCAAGAATATTGAGCATTGCTTTGTTTTAATACTTTTGTGCTGGTCGGATTGCCCAGTTGTTGAAATAGGATACTGAATTCTCGTGGGAATACCAAAACCTGGCTGGAAGATGTAGTTATTGTGTGATAGGCAGTACTTCTAAGTTTAATCCTGTTACTGCCAGCTGTCAGGTTTACTTTGAGTACACCGGTTTTCCTCCCTCACTCCTAGCCATATTTAATGATAACCACAGATAACCCCCTAAACCTTTGTGACACTGGGTTATGTAACTTGTTAAAGCTTTCCATCCATTCCAGGCTGGGGAATATGCATATTAAGCGCCAGCGCTCCCCCCTTGACGAGTAAATCGTCTGGTGTTACACAGAGTAAAATAATAAAGTAAGGTGCATCAGGGCGCAATGCGACTAAATGGGTTAATTTAACTAAATTCAACTGGAAAAATATTTAAATTTTAGATCATGTCACGGTAGAACACACTAATGGCATTACAGAGCCATTTGCAGAATCTACTCCATTAATTGATATCTTTGATGAACAAAACCATGATAATGGTACGTACAGTAAGTTGTGGAGAAAATATAAACTAAGGGGGTGTTTATATGGAACCTGAGCTAGCTCGCTTTGCTGAGATCTAACGTTGCATTATACTAATATTCATCTTGCATTTATATGGGAACCAGGCTGGCCCGCCTGACTCTCGCCTCCATATAAACACCGCCTAATTGTTGAGAAACAGAGAAAGGTCTAAGAATATAATCCAGCAGTTGTTGTTGTAATTCCATTTCCCCACTTTGAATAAACTTATCTGGCATTCAACTGAGTGAAATACAGTAACAAATGGTCGTTAAAGTCACACTTTATTGAAAAAAAAAATGACAAGTAGTACAAAGCACATGCAAAGGTTAAGAATATTTCAACGTTATACACTAATGAATATATTCCTTTGTAAGCGTTTGTCACATATTACTGTGGCCAATTAATGGTTCTGTTAAGCTACAGTAGCATGTAAGTCAGTACAAGGGTGCATGTAAATGCAATATTCCTATTATAACACTTTGTTTTTTTCCTAATTTAGCACATCGATTAACAACTGAAGCTGGTGTAATTGACCTGAATCATATTGTCAATTATCCAGTGAAGGCTGTAACAGTGCACAGAACAACCCTCAAGAATGATATGATTCAACTCTTTCAAGACCCAGACACACTTGGTAGTCTTTTAATGTTTACTGTAATAGGTTTTGATGGTTCGGCTGAAAAGGGTGAAGGTGTAGGTGTAGCTAGGGATGTTCTCACAAGCTTTTGGCAGGTTTTCGTTGATTCATTGGCTGTAGGTGTGCAGGAAAAAGTTCCCTCAATAAGGCATGACCATCAAAAAATGCAGTGGGTTGCAATTGTTAGAATTCTTATTTATGGTTACCTCAGGGAAAAATATTTTCCAATTTCACTTTCCTTAGTATTTGTTGCTACTTGCTTGTTTGAAGAAGAAAGTTTAACAAATCATGACCTACTACAATCGTTTCGAATGTACATCTCAGACGATGAGCGTGAGACCTTTGACAAGTGTTGCAATGGAGAATTGTCTCCTGATGATGAAGAAGTGCTAGAGCTATTAAGTTCGTACAAGTGCCACCGCATTCCAAACGCTGAAAATATTAGGTTGATTTTTTCTGAACTTGCACACCAAGAACTAATTCAAAAGCCAAAATATGTTGTCCACTGTTGGGCCCCCATATTCAAACATTAAAGTCTTTCCCCCCATTTCAATCCATAGAAGTGCTGAAAGAAATGTACGATGAAAAGCGGCCAAGCAGTCGTAAAGTAATAAAACTGCTTAAGTGCGTTCCAGCTAATGATGCTGAAAACCAATGTTTGGATCACTTAAAACGGTACATTAAGTCTTTACAGGGTCAGTCTTTAACACGGTTTCTTCAATTCACTACAGGTAGCGACATTATTGTAACTGAACAGATTAAGGTTGATTTTGTAGCTGCCCAGGGTAAACCTGTGCGCCTCTGTTAGAGCTACCAAGTACATACCAGTGTTATAATGACTTAGCTGAGGAGTTTAGTAACATCTTAGCTGATAAATTGTCATGGGCATTTGATATTGTTTAAACTGATCTTGAGAGTTCAGTAAGTTTTTATGACTGGGTAGTTGAGGATTCTAATTGTACCTAGTTGAAAAATTGTTATAGTTTTTTTCACTTGGTTTATGCCAAATGTTAATGTACACTTAATTTACAGTTTCATATTTATATTATGACTTAGCATTGTTGTTGTTTCTTAATAAGTAATTGGTGATTGTCCCACGCAGGTGAAATGTTTTTATGCAACTATCACTATAAATCAAGTATGCCATTTCACTTTTCTACTGAATTGCCCCGGTATTTTTTCTAGCAGTGTCCAATGTGACTGACATTTCAAACAATCACCAATTACATGTTTAGATGGATTCGTGTTGATATTTTTGTACCTTACAGTATCATCGTTTTTGCACTTTTTGAAATTTTAATAAAGAAAACTTACAAACTATTAACCTGTTGTATTCTCGCTTAATAGCTGCACACATGCTCTAAACAAATTTACACCATGATGTCCATCATCACTTAGGTGGGTTATATTTTCCTGTAGCACGATAGATAGCTCTTCATTGACATTAATTTGTGGTACAGAAACATCATAGTCATCATCATTGATTGGGCGAGTTGCATCTGTATCTAAATCTATGCCCGAACCGAACTCATCAAACTCGTTATTGTCATTCACTCCTTCCAGTATATTCTGGTTACAATTGGACATTGTCCCTCTGATGAAAAGTTGTTCAGGACTAAGGTTCTCAGCTGTACTGACTGGGTGGCCATTCCATTGGCACTTGCACTCATCAAGGGACTTTTGTATTCTTGGAATAAATACGTAGTGCAATGCGAAAAGATGGTTTTCATTCAGACAATCAAGAAAACCGTCTTCCTCCATGGTAGTAAATAGCCAGACATAGTGAGAAAGTACGCCACAGTAGACATCTCTGTGGAGGCGTTCAACTCTGACGTTATGCACAGATTTACCTGTTATCATACTACCCCTGTTACATCCCCTATGAATAAGCATAAAGCGTGCAACGTCCACGTTTTCTAAGCCATGGTCAGACCGCACCCTTAACGGTAAACCAAAGTCTGTGACTCCATGTTCAAAAAAATCTACGACGGTCGACGCCCGGTTATTATTAGCACATTGCAGGTATATAACAAGTCGGCTATATCCATCAATGCATGCGTGAGTAACTAAACGCCATCGTATCAGCTTGTGGTTCCCATCCATGTGCCACAATGCGTTTGGGTGCGGAACCTGATACTTACGTCTGTAGATTCTCGGATTCCATCTAAGAGCTGTGCCGACTGGATCAATTCTTCTGAGGCACTCCCTGACCCTGTGTCTCTGTATGTTTAGCCCTCTTGCCCTGAGAGCACCAACCATCCTACTCTGACCAATATTAGGGGTAATTTTAATAATGTCTTCCATTGTACGAGTTAGCTCTTCTTCGGAAATCGCAGAAAAATTGTCATCAATACCAAGTTCAATTTTTCTCCTTCTTAACGTCCGTGTGGACACGTGAAGCAATTTGGCAATGCTTACCCAGGAAAAGTGCTTGCTTCGCAAAAATTCAAGTTGGTTTTTGGTAATGTCATATTTTGGTCGGCCAGGTCTATTTGTTCGATGGGTTGAACACCTATAAGATGTATTTTCATTAGTCGACTGAATCCTTTCCACCTCTCTAAAGATCGCTCTCTGAATTAACATTAGGCTGGCTAAAACGTCCGTAAGCAAACCTAAAGTGCCTTCATCAGCGTTTAAGTTGTCCAATAACGTCGTGAAGGAGGAACACATACTCTCCAATCGATTACTCAAGATCTCCAACTGATCTAACCTGCTGAACGTATTTTCGGTACTGCTTTCCGTTAAAGTGGACGCTATTCCTGCAATAACGGATTTGGCGGCCTGTAAAAATGCCACCCATTCAACGTTGACGACGCTCTGACCTTCTCGGCGGTAAAGGGCATTGTTAACGTTTTTAATTCAGCTTTTGTTTGAGAGTTTTAGTATTTCAAATCATTTAAATTTAACTGTTTTGCAGTTCTTCCGTTACCGTCAAACCACTATTTCCACTTGAATTTGTCGATGACTGATTGTTTATAGGAGAAATACTGGCGCTTTCGAGCTTTTGTATCCTTTGCAGTGCGTTATTTAAGTGAAACTGAAGATCATTTGGGTTGAACATCTTCGTCTTCGAGAAATCGTAGAAAATGGCGGTCGTCCGTTGCTGTTTGTCACGTGATATAATAAGGCCGCAAAGCATCATAATTAGAATATATATTTTTCAAAGAGCATATATTTTTTGAGTATAGAAAACTTTTAAAGTTTAGCATATATTTTTGCAGTTCAGCAATGTTTTGTCGAGTTTACCATGAACTTATCCAATTTGGCCAATATTTATGAAAATAATCGCATGCCTATTTCAAGTTGGGAACATATATCTTAAGTTTAGCACGTATTTTTTAAGTTTGGCAGATATATATTAAGTTCAGAACAAATTTATTATGTTCACCACATATATTTTCAAAGTTCAGTCCATATATTTTTGTATTAGAGCAAACATCTGCAGTTTGGCAGATATTTATTTTTGAAACGCAATATTGTCCGCTACGGCGCCCCATACAACCCCCCGTAAGCGGGATTTCCCCTTTGTTTACTACAGCTCGAAAATTGATATTCGGCATGTCGGCATGTGCTAAAACCTGGACTGGACTATGGACTGGACTGGACTATGGACTGGACTGGATTTTGGACTGGATTTTGGACTGGATTTTGGACTGGATTATGGACTGGACTATGGACTGGACGCATTTGTGCTAAAACCTGGGATTTTTATTTAGCTACAGCCGTTTCAACGAATTCAGTCTCCGGCTATGACTTTGTCATAGACACTATACCATATACTATATACTATATGACCTTACTTACTGAAATTTTATTGACAGTTCATTAAATAGAAATCATACAAATTTAAAACATTTTAATCAATGTTACAATTCTCGACGTTTTCAATAATTAGCGTGCGTAAATAACTGGTCCGACATTTTGTACTTGTAGAGAATGTTCTTCTCAAGCTACGACATCTAGATCTATCTCTCACAATCCACAAAGCGTACCAAGAAGTACTGAAAAAGGTTAGTAAAATAGTTTTAAAACTTGATATTTAAGAGCTCGAAATCTCAAATAATATTTTGCAATTCTAGATTCTCCTTATTACGTTTTCGTAGCGCTTTCCATTGTGGTTATAGTTGTATCACTGATATTCAAGATGGCTTATTTTTTGTCCTGACTCGTGCAAGAACTTTTTAAAAAGCTAGGGTCGAGTGCGCGAACAGCAAAATATTCGCGAAAACATTCAATATTTTCATTCGAGGCCGCTATCTTTGTCAGTGATACAACTATAACCACAATGGAAAGCGCTACGAAAACGTAATAAGGGGAATCTAGAATTGCAAAATATTATTTGAGATTTCGAGCTCTTAAATATCAAGTTTTAAAACTATTTTACTAACCTTTTTCAGTACTTCTTGGTACGCTTTGTGGATTGTGAGAGATAGATCTAGATGTCGTAGCTTGAGAAGAACATTCTCTACAAGTACAAAATGTCGGTCCGGTTATTTACGCACGCTAATTATTGAAAACGTCGAGAATTGTAACATTGATTAAAATGTTGTAAATTTGTATAATTTCTATTTAATGAACTGTCAATAAAATTTCAGTAAGTAAGGTCATATAGTATATAGTATATACTATATAGCATAGTGTCTATAGTGACAAAGTCATAGCCGGAGACTGAATTCGTTGAAACGGCTGTAGCTAAATAAAAATCTCAGGTTTTAGCACAAATGCGTCCAGTCCATAGTCCAGTCCATAATCCAGTCCAAAATCCAGTCCATGATCCAGTCCAAAATCCAGTCCAAAATCCGGTCCAAAATCCGGTCCAGTCCAGTCCATAGTCCAGTCCAGTCCATAGTCCAGTCCATGTTTTAGCACATGCCCGGCATGTCAATGCTCGAAATAGACAGTACCAGGCAGTGAAGTGAAATGAATTCGTTCAATGAAAAAAAACGTAAAATAACATTTTAAATATTAATTATCGGTTGGTTTAACTCCACTACGTTTGTACGACATAAAACAGACATAAAACAGACATAAAACACTCCTACACGAGTAGGAGTGTTTTATCGTACGACAACGAGTATTTTGAATAGCTTAAAATACGACTACAAAAGAATACTAATAGACCTTTCCCCTTATAACCAAAATTTTGATCTAGGCAAGTCTAGACAAATATTTCATCACAGCTTGAAAGAGCATCACAAAATTAGTAATATTCCAAAGTTTCGTTGCGAAATGTTGTAAAATGAGGAAAATAGAGCCTTGCGAAGTTTGCAATTTTCAGTCATTTTAGATTACAAACGGGAAATTGCAGCCCCAACACCCGAATCGTATGTCAATTTCCGTTTGTAATACAAAATGACTGAAAAATGGCAAACTTCGCAAGGCTATATTATCCGCATTTTACAAGATTTTGCAACAAAACTTTGGAATA